GATTAATCTTTTTATCCAGAGAGGGAAAAAGAGAGTGATCAACATGTAAAGAGACTTTATAAACTACCAGTGACAGAAAAGAAGCTTCAGAAAATGTAGAGAATAAGGAGATGCTTTAATTAAGATGAAATATTTTTCTGTTAAAGCTATGGAGATGGACAGTAGTGTACTGAAAGAACCCCTTTAATTCATGATACAGTATATAGGGAGGAATGGAGTGTTCAAAGTGTGGATTTTGAGTAAAAAGTAGAGTAATTGTGATACAGTGAAGTGCTGGAAGATTTGAAGCCTTGAGAGGCAATGAGAAAACTGTTTTCTAGTGAAGCTCACAGAGACAGATGAAGAAGACTTTTGCTTTTGAATAACTCATCCTTAAAATGACATCCCTAAGCTCATGGCCCATACATACCTCAGAGTGATATGAAATGGGAGGAGTGAGCTCTGATAACAGCAGCTCTGGGCAGCTAACATCAGGGCAATAGAAAACTCTAACAGAAGTAGTTTTCTTGTGAGAAACTCCATAAATTAACAGAAAGAGACTTCTTTTTCTCTACAAAGACTGGTGAAAAGACTGTAGCAGGAATTTGGACTGTTTTAACCATCAAAGTTCCAAAGTTTTTGTCTCTGTTGTCATGTGAACAAGGGAATAGTGGGTTGATAGGTGATGGAAAAGGTTTTTCTGGAAGTTTATTCTGGTGTTGTTATTATTTAGTTTGTTAATAAACTTTCTTTATTCCTTTTAAATTTTATGCCTGTTTTGCTCTTGTTCTAATCCATATATCACAGCAAGAAATAAGTAATTTTTTTACTTATTAGTTTAAAACCATGACACATACCAAAACATGTTTCTTGCTATGCTAGTGGCATAGGTACTATAAACAAGTAATACTGTACAGAAAGATCTGCATGTGATAAACCTTATGACTCTAGATAACTAATGAGAGGGTATCAAGAGGATGGATCAGGCTTTTCTCAGTGATGCCAAGTGATAAGACAAGAGGCAGTGGGCAGAAACCGATGCACAGAAAGTTCCACCTGAGTATGAGGAAGAACTTTACAGTGTCGGTGGCTGAGCACTGGAACAAGTTTCCCAGAGAGGCTGCAAAATCTCCCTCACTGAAGATGTTCACAAACCATCTGGACACAATCTCTACTCATGTTCTCTAAAATAGTCAGCTTGAGCAGGAAGGCTGGACTAAGTGGCCTCCAGTAGTCTCTTGTAACTTTCACCATTCTTTAATTCTGATTTAAACACTTGATTGTGTGAGCTAGTGTGCTGGCTCTTTGTGCTGGATTACCTCAGTTTTACAGGCATATATAAGTTTGTAGTGTGTATTACCACTTGTATAGAAGTTGATTTCATATAAGTGGAACTCCAAGTTCTGGAAAACTGTCTCTTTAATTCTTCATACCTAATTCTGTAGTAAAAAGTCGGAATACTTATGTTTTCAAGTTTCTTGGTTTGGAAAGAGAAATTCCTCAGACAACTTGTTTCAAGAAATAACTCAATATGTAAATAAAGCTAAGATATTCAATTTCATTCATGAGTGGACTCATAAATCTTTTATGAATGATGTGTCTGTGTACTGTACCAAAACTTGATCGCTCTTAGAGTTTGTTATTAAACAAAGCCCTTAGAAAATAATAGTTTATAACTTTACATTGTATTTGTGAAGTTATATACAAAATACATATTTTATACTGTAATGGGTTGACCCTGGCTAGATGTTAGACACCCACCAAAGCCCCTATCTCATTGTCCTCCCCAGCTGGACAAGGAAGGGAAATACAAGAAATGTTTCATGAGTTGAGATAAGGATGGAGAAAGATCACTCACCAAATATCACCATAGAGAGAACAGAAAATTAGAGATTTTAATTGAATTCATTACTAACAAAGTCAGAGTAGGATAATGAGAGCTAAAAACAGACCTTGCAAACAGTTTCATTCCACCTTCCCAGTTCTACCTCCTCCCCCAGCAGTGCCAGGAGAGAGGGAATGGGGGTTATGGTCAGTTCTTCACATGCTATTTCTCCTGCTTTTTATGGAGAGGGCTCATTCCCCCACTCCAGCATGGGGTGGCTCTCACAAGAGGCAGTTCTCCATAAATTTCTTCAGTGTGAGTCCATTTCATGAACTGCAGTTCACCCCAAACCACTGCATTGTGGATCATTCTTCCATGGGGTGTTTTCACAGAATTCCCAGAATTAACAAGATTAAAAAGAGATATCAAGTCAAATTTATGACCTAACAAGCCTTCAAGGACAGGATGCTTCAATATGGGTGCCCCACAGAGGCAGAAGTCTGTTGCTCTATTAGGAACGGCGAGATGAACGACACAGACTCTCTAGGAGTCGATCAGGAGAATTTCCCCTGGTTTATTACTTCAGGTCTTTTTTATAGACCGATACGTGGAAAGTACAGAAAAGAAACTCTTATTGGTCAGTAAACTAACACATCACCATAATTGGTCAGTGGGGCTCACC